GGAATTTTTGAAAATTTGTAATTTTTTTTTTAATCCATGATCGATTTTTTTAAAAATTTGTTATTTTTTTTTTTAATTCTATATTATTCAAAGAGAAAATGAGAGAGATGATGATTCTGAGGCCACCCTATCCCAGCCATATTATTCACATATCGAGTCCCAACAGCAACAGTGTAGAGATGAGCACGAAATGCTGTAAATTAAATGCTGAATGGCGGTTCATGCAGGGAAAGAACATATCAATATTCGCATATTTATTCAAAAACATGAAAATTCTTAATGGAGTACCCTCATTTTTTATTGAATTCTTAAAAAACAATATTTATAATGAATTTTAATAATTTTTTCGAATTTTTTTTAAGCTTTATTCTGACCGATTCACCAGATTCTTCATCCGGATCGTCGATTCGTTGATCCGGATCGATTTTTTGGAAACCCGATCCGGGTCACCGATCCGTTTTTTAAACCATTGGTTGTAAAGAAATGGTAGAAGGCTTGCTCTATGGATATTTCTATTGCCAAACTTAACCCACACGAAAATGAATTTTACGCGTACCTGAGACAGATGAAGATCTGGAGAGAGAAAGGCATTGAGTTCCGAGAGAGCGAGAGAGAGATTTGGGGTTCTCAGAGAGAGAGAGAGAGAAGGGTTCCCTTGAGAGACGGAGTTTAGTCTTCGCTGCCGTACCAAAGTTCGGCCCATAACCATACTTTCTAGTGGAAGAGAAGGACGAAGAGAGAGAGAGATTGGGGGTTTTCTCACGCATGTATTTCCTCTGCCATTTCGCATCTATGACACATGCTTTCTCTCTCTAAAACCCTTCACACGCTATTGAGCCTGTGAACCTCGGCGAAGATTATACAGTCTCTCTCTCTAGCCTCCAGCTTCATCCCATACTCTCTCTCTAACCATCTGTATTCTTCTGAGGAGAGGCTTCTGATGCCCTTGTTTCTCTCTCCTCTTCTCCATGGAAGAAGAAGATGAGTTCGGCGACCTCTACACCGACGTCCTCACCTCTTCTTCTTCAAACCCTCCTCTTTTATCTTCCTCTCTAAACCCTATTTCTCTCTCTTTGCTTCCTCATCAAAATGATGAAGAAATCCTCTATGAAACCCTAATCAGTCCCAAAATCCGAGGAAGTGGCACCAAAAATGAAGCCACAGATGAGAGAGAACCGGAAACCCTAGAGAAACCAGCACCCCAGGTTGGGCCTGAAACTGATGGATGGCATGATGATCGTGGTGGTGACGCAGGCTGTGACACCAAGGGCTCGAGTGATGGGATCGATCTTATGGGCTCTGAGCAGATTCCTGGTTTGATTCCTGGGTTATCAGCTGGACCCTTTAAGGCAGAATTGTTCCCAAGCTCTGAAACGAGGGTACAACAGGAGAAGGGGGAGGAAGAGTGGGATAGCGATAGCGAGGATGATCTGAAAATTGTTCTTAATGAAGGGCACGATATCCTTGGACCAGGCCCTTCAGCTCTTGAGAGGAGAGATGATGATGGTCATGGTGATAATGTTGATGATGATGATGAGGATGATGATGATGATGGGGATGACTTTGTCATTGTCGCAGGTGGAGATCCCCATGCTCAGGTGGTTGAAGATCAAGATTGGGTTGAGGATCCATCTCAGATTGCAACTGATGGAGACAAACCAGGTGCGGTTGATGATAGAGGCCAAGTTGCAAAGGTTAATGCAGGAGTTGTGGCAAGGGTTGGATTTGGAGGCCATGGGTATCACATGCATCATTCACAGTTCAAGGTCGAAATTTTCTTCGTGTTCTTGACCATTCAGTGAAAATGTTCCATTTTTATGTGGTTTCTGATGCGTGGTTCATTTTCCAGGGGTGGTATTTCGTTTTTTTATTACTGTAATATTTGAGAGCTTGTGAATTTTCCTGAATTTTGTTAGTTTTTAGTTCTGAAGATTCCTCTTTTGTATTGGAGATTATATGAGCTGTGTTGGGTGTCGATTCTAACTGTAACTATGTATTTAATCAATTTATAGTGGAAACAAATAGTTTTCCCACTTGATTTCCCTATGCTGTAACCTTTGTAGCATAGTTTTTGGCCTTTTTCCTTATACTGTTTTGTGAGTCTTTTACGATATACTCTGTATCAGGTTCTTTGCATTTTGGAAGAGGATTAGTTGAGAATTTGATTTATCAGAGCACTGAATGTTGAAAAAAGAGCCATTGGAACAATGAACAGGAAAAAGTGGTTAATATGTGATCCTCTGCACTGATGGAAATGTAACTTAGCCAGAAGCAAGATAATTGATGTCTCGTAGTCTCAATTTTATTCAAAAAGCATTTTTCCATCTTTTTCCTGTACCCGGGTTTTAATTGTTTTACAAATGGGTCACTGAGGTTGAAATCTACACTCCCATATTTGACAGTTAATGATATCATTAAACTGAATAGGAAGCTTCATGATTTTGAAAGGATCGAGTGGCTCAAATAACTTACAGATGTAATCATATCTTCGAATTGTTTTCCTGGAGAAGGTGGTTTTTTCCACTAAAGCATTTGTATTGGGGTTGAAGGTGGTAGCTGTCGATATGGCATTTGAAGACACCTTTGGCCTTATTGGCTCTGTTTTCTTTTGAAGGAGTATCATTTTTTTTTGCTAGGTATTGATTGGAGGATGCGCCTTGCAAACCTTACATGGTAGTTGAAATGGAGAAGTCTCCTTAAAAATGATTCCTTTGAAGCTGCACGTGATGGTCTAAATGTTTAGAAGCTCTTTTTTAAGACTTGGGACATGCCTGAACCTTAGAACATGTAAGCTTCCTGAGGTTAAAAATGGGGAGTCTTAAGAAGACACATAAGACAAGCTGATGTTTTCTATACTCTTGCAAATTTTTTAATCTATTCATAGTGAATTTGACAATAAAAGTTTTTGTTTCAAACGTAATCTGATGCTGTGTTAGTTATTTAGGACTTACCAAGTATGGTATTTGCATACTCCCGAAGAGCCTCATGTGTAAGGGAAGGTGCACTGTTACAAATTTACAGCTATCACAGAGAGAGAATCTGATGGCACAAGACTATTATTAATTTAAGTCGAGGGCCATCTCTTAGTTGGTAGCTTGACACGGACGCTTCTTTCTATGGTTGGGAAAGGAAGTGTTATCAAGTTCATGTGTCTGATGTGTCCATTGATTTTGTTTTAAATTTCTAATTTCTATCTACAATATTGAGTTCTATGCAAAGGTTCTGAAGGATGTAAGTAACAAGCCAGATGCATTTTTGTATCGTTGGGTTTGCCAAATGTCATATAGACTAATTGGTTGTGGTGGAGGTGATAATGATGACAACGTCTATTGGCTATCGGTCTGAGTTCTGAACTCCATGTAATGGCCATTGCACTACGAGGGTTGAAGAATATGGTTTTATTTTGCTCTCGAAACTCTTTTTGAACCCAGAGTTTTGTAAACAATTTGGGAGGACCATGTTGAACTTCACTCCCCCTTTCTTTGATAACTGTATTTTTTGTTTTTTTGCATGCCATTAAAATCTACTTAAATGTGCATAATATTTGAGTTTTACATTGTTTTTCTCATGAATTTACATATTTTGCCTTTCCATCTCATTAAAAATCCACTCAAAAGTAATTATGATAAACATTAATAGATATCTTAAGTGTTTGTTACTCTGACTTGTAGCTAAATACAGTTATGATGTGCATAAAGCTCGTTGTTAGTTCCTATTTGATTGTTCTATTACATTTCATTCTTTTCTTCCCCCCTCTATTAATGAAATATCTGAAGATTTATTTGTTTTCATGCAGTATGTGAGGCCTGGTGCTGCAACTGCAACTGGAGGTGTTGTTAATAATGTTCCTAGTGTCCCTGGTCAAGTCCGCTCTCTTGCTCCCATGGGCCCCATGTCTGGTCGTGGGAGAGGTGATTGGAGGCCAATGGGTGGCAAGATTGTCCCTAATATGCAGAAAGGCTTTCATGCAGGATATGGCTTGCAAACTTGGGCCAATAATTCAGCAATGCGTGGTTTCAATGGCATGGAGTTCACTCTTCCATCTCACAAGTAAGCTCAAAGTTTTCATGTAAACTAAATGACATTTTGATGTACTTTTTCTCAAGTTTTATTCTTTTAATCATGCGGGGAATCTTAGATATGGGGATTTTTGCATCATGATATCCTAAAATGTCACCGGGATATTTGAGAATTTTGTGGTTATGTTTGCATTTATGCGGCATCCTTATTGTGTATTTAATAGAAAACTATTGTTTTGACTTCTTTTTTTTACCATTTTATTAAATGAAGGACATGCACGGCATAAAAAAATGCCAATGATGATAGATGTAGGTCGAATCATCTAATGTAATGGTCGATTTGATAGAATTTATTCAGGACAATTTCTAGTAGCATATAGTTTCTGGGAACTATGGTCCTCCGCTATATGTGATGTAACTCGACATTGTATTTTACCCATATTCAGTTTATGAAGGTATATACATCTCGATTACTTACAGGGACCAGAAGCAAAAACAAAAAGAAAACAAAAAAAAAGAAACCAAAAAAAAGAAGAGAGAGAGAGAGAGAGAGAGAGAGAGACGAGAGAGAGTAACGTACTTACTTACGTTTACTTACCTACTACTACTACTCTCTCTCTCTCTCTCTCTCTCGCTCTCTCCCCGTATATGTGTGTGTACGTGTGCACACATGTTTGTACATGGTTATCAGTACCACATATCTGAGTTGGCATGGGTGTCAGTGAAGGTTGTTGTCTTCCCATGTTTGAGACTAATTCACGCATAGTTGATGGAGCATGCAATTTGGGTTCTATATATGTATGACTGCTTGGAATGGATTTTGTTCTTTTCTGATTGGGGGGTACTTAGATTGCTAAAAGCCCTACGAGGATGTGCCTTTCTTTGAAGCCTTGCTATTTGTTTTTTGAGATTTCTGCATTAGTTAGCGATTTTCTAAGTCAGTGTTGAAGTTTGTTTTCAAGGTGAAAGTTCATCTTTGATTCATTTGTCAATGGGATTCCATGGCATTTGAGGAACTTGTTTTGTAGATTTGAAAAATGTTGGATGTTGGAACATCATAAAGGCACACGAAGTTTTAGTTATATTACTTCAGCAGCTGGATTAGTTTTACATGATGCTTGTTTCTTTGCATTCTAACAATAAGAAAACTTCTGGTGGTTTAGAGGAAATTTCCTGCAATTATTGTGCTCAGAATTTGTGAAGGTTTAATAAAAGTTGTCATTTTTAAGTGGACATCCCCCTCCCCTCCCCCTTTTGTTTTTTGAGAAAAGGTTAACTTTATATTTATAAAATAATAGTAAAAATACAAAAACCATAAGATGTGATAAATTTCATTCCACAAGATGGGTGCTCCGAGTACAAAAAGGATAGGTAGAGCAGAAAGTGTCCAGCAAAACAAAAACAAAAGCAAAAACAAAAACAGAAAGCCAAAATCTGAATTGACAATACGATGGGGAGGAAGGAAGTCTTCTTGTGATGTGGGTGGCAAGTATTGAGCAGCTTGCGGATGCAAAGTCTAAGGGTGCACAATACCAAGAGAGGAGAGGTAAGCGATAGAGGGATGGGAATGGAATAGAAAAAGGATGGGGATTAAAATAAAAAGAGATAGAGGGCTAGAAAGAGAGAGGGCAATAGAGAGAGGGAGAGGAAGAGAGAGGGTTAAGAAGGAGAGAGGGAAGGTGATGAATATGACCAAGAGAGTAGCAGAAACAAGGTAGGAGGGCTCATGACAAAACTCCGACCTCCAAGGCCTGTGATGATTAAGCCACCTTCCAGTACTTTGAACCAGATACTAGCTTACCACTCTTTAGGAAGTAAACTGTTTGCAAGGAAAAGGGCAGACACGAAGAAGACCTGCATGGGAGATAGAAATAGAGAGAAAGCAGAGATAGATAGAGAGAGAGAGGAATAAAGCCAAGAAGGAAAGAAGATTGACTAAAGAGGAAGAGATGAAGAGGAGAAGACGGAAAGCTCACTGAGTAGCGGGCGAGGGGAATGAAGGAAGCTAAAAGCTCTGGAAGGAGCGAATAAGAGGGAGAAGTGAGAGGAAAGGGTAGAGAAAGTAAAAAGGTCGAGTACGCAGAAAGAAGAGGGGAATGCAAACAGAATGAGAAATCTATAAATATACCTTTTTCTTGTTCTGTCTTTTTTTTTTCTCCTTTTTTTATTTTTTTACTTATTTTTTGGTTGGGAAAAAAGAAAGGTAGATAGGAGAATACTAAGAAAGCAGAATTTACTGTAGAAAAAAAGAAGGTAAAAGAAAGGGGTGAGGGGGGGAAGGTGTTAAACAAATTCAAATTTGTACCAAGAGTACTTAGGGCTCCTTCCTTTGTGAAGGCAATCTGCCGTTGAGTTGGTGTCGCAGAGGATATGTCTGAAGGAGACAGGTGGTAGAGATCTGCACATAAATGCTATTTGGTCAAAGATGGATGAGAGGTGCCAGGGGGGCCTGTTTGAGATTAGATGGCCAAAGGATAATGTTGCTGGAGTCGGCCTTGACCTGCACACCAATGAATTGTGTGGCAACTTGAGAGGCCCTCTGAAGGCCTTCGAGCAAAGCAAGGCCCTCAGCTGTGGTAGAAACTAAAACTCTGAAGGGCCCGAAAGGAAGACACCTTTAGAGTTGGCCAAGGTGCCACCAAAGCCTGGGGGGCCAGGGTTTCCTAGAGAGGAACCATCTGAATTAATCTTGAGGACACCCGGGGAGGAGGATTCTGCTCAGCCCTATGCTGAGGTAAGGGAGGGGCAAGGGTAAGAAGACAGTTCCAATTGGCACGGAAATGTGTTACGGGGATGGAGGTGTAGTCAGGTAAATTATTTGCCTAGAAAGAAATCAAAACTAAGATGGAGTCAAAAGGGGGAGATTGGTGTCTAGCAGAGCCAGGGAAGGTCCTTGCATTCCTTTCTAACGAAATGGACTATAAGAGAGCCATTACTGAAATACACCACAATTTTCGACCCTTGTCAGGGAAAGGAGGGGAAAACAAAGTTGAAAAGAGTTATGGAATGGAGGCAGGGGTGACCCATTGAGGACCGAAGAGTTGGAGGAAGGAAGACCATAGGGAGGAAGACATCCCTCAATGGAGGAAGAGATGGGGGATAGTTTCTTCTTCTTGAAGGCACAAAATGCATCGATTGGGAAAGGAGAGACCACGCCTCTGAAGTTGGTCTAAAGTTAGGACCTTACCTTGAAGGAGGATTCAAGTGAGTGCTTGGACTTTGAGGGGGGCGGGTATAGACCAGAGCTTGTTTAGGAGAGGGGGAAGGGTCCAAAGTGGGAAGTAGTGAGGAGTAGAATGAGGAAACACTGAAAGCCCCCAGTGGATTGGGGGCCCATATGATCGAGTCTTCTCAAAACGGGGAGAGAAGAAAGGAGTTAGCATCAGAAGAAGGGAGTTGAAAGTGCCGATTTCGGACTCATTACGATTTCTCCTAAAAATAGGGGTCCAAACCAAGGGTGAGAGCCTACGTTACGAATAACGAGCAACTGAGGCATCTTGGTCTACGACTAAGAGAAAGAGAGAAAGGAAAAGTTGCTCGAGGGGTTGATCACAGAGCCAGAGGTCCTTCCAGAATCTAACCCTAAGCCTATTCCCTGTCTTGAATCTTATAAGAGTTCTGAAGGCAGATTTGGTTGAGGAGACAGAGGCATGGTGCAGAGGGGAACAAAGCAGCTATCGGTTGTCCCCAATGCCATATTTAGCCACGATAACTTGTTTCTAGCGGAGAGGGTGTGGGGAAGTGAACCTCCACCACCATTTGCTCAATAAGATAGAGTTCATGAGATTGATCTTCCTTATACCAACGCCACCAACTTTTTGGGGGAACAAATCTTCTCCCAAGCATCTAAATGGAATTTATGGCCCTCAGAGTACCCATTCCAAAGGAAATCCTCACGAGTTTCTCAAGATGTTTGGCAATGGACACAGGAACCTAAAAGAGAGAGAGACATCTGGTAAATAGGGATATTGGCCAAGGTTGCTTTAATAAGGGTAATCCTTCCACCAAGGGACAGGAATCTACCCTTCCAGTTGGCTAGCTTCCAAGAAAACTTCTCAATAACGTTGCCCCAATGGTGTTTTCCAACTTTACCTAGGCACAAGGGGAGACCCAAGTAAGAGGAGGGAAGGTGACCAATGACAAACCCTAAGTGTTCAGCAAGGAATGCAATTCCTGGTTCGTGGACCTGCACTCCCAATATTTTTGTTTTGGACATGTTGACCTTCATCCCTGTGGAAATCTCAAACATCCAAGGAAGAGCCAGAGATTATCCAGCTGTGAGGGTTCAGCCCCACAGAAGATTAAGGTGTTGTTGGCATAGAGAGGTGGTGAATGATTGGGCCACAGAAGATTTCAGCTGTAAGGGTTCAGCCCCACAGAAGATTAAGGTGTTGTCGGCATAGAGGAGTTGGGAAATGACCGGGCCATCTCTAGATGTCTGGAATCCCGAGATGAGGCCTTGATCAATCATCCTATTAATGGATCTAGAAAAAAGTGCACCTATGAAAGTGATCAAAAAAGGGGAGAGGGGGTCTCCATGTCTTAAGCCCCTAGAAGATGGGAAGAAACCGACAGGGGATTCCTTATTTAATGATAGAGAAGGAAGGTTTGGAAATGCTGGCCTTAATCCAAGATCTTCACTTGGGACCAAACCCCAGGTTTGAGAAGATTGGATGGCTTAGGGTTTGTGAAGGGTTTTCTGGAAATTAAGTTTACTCTCTTTTTTTGTTTTTTTTTTGCTTTATTGATAAGTTCCCTTGATTCCATAACATTAATTAAAAAAGGTAAGTTCTTTAATTTCTTTCTTAGAAGTCATATTAGTGCTGATATTTTCTTTGTCCATTCCTTGAAGAGACGTGTGGATGTTTCACATTTGGAAGTACAATTTAAGTGCTCTTTTTAAGTTAATACCTATAAGCTCTATGGTGGAAGCTGGAAACTATGTGTAAGGTTCCCTTTTAGCTATAATACACTTGCAGAATGCTTTTTAATCCTTGAGTTTGAATTTTTTAATCCTTGAGTTTGAATTTATGATTATAGCTATCCACATCCGGTTTCTGTTTTTCCCTTTTTCCAGGACAGTATTTGATATTGACATTGATGCCTTTGAGGAGAAACCGTGGAGGCAACCTGGTGTGGATACGTCTGACTTTTTCAACTTTGGTCTGGACGAGGACACTTGGAAGGAGTACTGCAAACAATTGGTAATAAGCAGTTGTTTTCCAATAGTGGAAGTATATCCTCTAACACGAGGGCTCCTAAAGCTAGAAATCGTGATTGCATGGAATTAACTGATTCTTTGTCATTTAGTATAGCATATTATTTTGCAACATGGGTCTTACTAAATCTAAAAGTTTATATGCTATTGCTGGAACATACCTTGCATTCACTCTCTCATGTAAAACCCTATCTCAGAGTATTTTTAGGACCTCATATTTTGGGGATGCAACCTACTCAACCCAGAAACCGGCCCTGAAAAAGGAAAAAAAAAAAGGAAAAAGAAATAGAAAAAGAAAGATTCATATTGCCCGATATGCACTCTATATGTGTCTGAAAAGAATAATGTCCTAAGATTTAACGGAGACCGTCCAAATTTGAACAGCCAGATCTAAGTGTTTAGAAATGCAAAATCTAATATTTTTCCTGAAAATACTGATCTGGTGATGATAAAGCAGATCCTAAAATTTCAGATAGAGAAATTCCTCTGAAGTAGTTTTTTTGCCTGGGGAAGTAAGTTTACAGTATTTAGCAGCTAAGCTCCTCACTTGCTACTGTTGTAGGGGCTCATCCTTTCTATTGTGCAGGAACAATTACGTTTGGAAGCCACCATGCAGAGCAAGATTCGTGTTTATGAAAGTGGACGGTCTGAGCAGGTAGGAAAGTTTATGGTTCTGTTTATGGGCAATTAGCTGATTGGGCTTCCTTAAGTTTTTGTGATTTGGTTTCCTGGATTGTGTTTTAGGATTATGATCCAGATCTACCTCCAGAACTAGCAGCAGCGGCGGGTCTCCATGATCCTTCCATGGATAATCAGCATATTAATAAGACTGATATTGGATCATCCGATGCAGCTGGTCTTGTTAGGGGATCTACACGGGTTCGTCCTCAGATAGTAAGGCCATGTTTCATAATTCGCACTTCCCCTATACTTTTGTTTCTTCCACAAACTTCTGGTGAAATTTTTGTCTCTTTTGTGAAACTATTAATAGTTTTGTAGTTGTGGAGGCTCAAACTGATGCTGTAGCAGCCAATATACTGGGGTTTAAAATGGGCAAATAAAATATTATTTGTTTTTTAAAATGTAAAGGTTTAATTTTCAGCAAATTGGATATAATGGATATAATGGTGGTGCTTTTTTTTATCAATGAACATATTCAAAAGAGCATATAGGATGCTTGGTTTTTTGAAAGAAAAACAGATAGAACGGAGATAATATTGTCTGCTTTTTCCAAATTTGAAGAGTATGTTATGTTGGCTGTCGCACTGATATATAATGGCCATATAAATTTCGAAAGCGCTAGTACTTCACAATGTCAGGTGATTTTGACTATATAGGGTACGCCATTCCATATCAAATATATACCAGGGTGTGTAAGCCTTGATCCATTGAAAAGCCACTATTTGATACTTCATCCCTCTAACCAATACACACACACCAACACACACACACACACACAAAAGATGCTTACTCGGAGTTGTGGTTTTCTCAACCATGGGAAGGCTCATGCAAAGGACTATTGAAAACCTTGATTGATTGGGTAATCACTATGTGATGAAATCATGGATGATGATTTTGAGAATGGTACCCACCAATAAAGGACATGATCCCCATGGTGTGCCTGCATGCTATCTGCATCATCATCCATCATTGCCTTATATGTGCATGAGCCAATGGAATTTGGTTTTCTATAGTCCATGAGACTAGCATAGTTTCCTCTATATCATTAGTTTATTACTTATTAGAATTTCATGGATTTGACAATATTTCATGCTTCGTACCCAGCCTACAGGGAGAGCGATACAGGTTGAAGGTGGCTATGGTGAACGCCTTCCGTCTATTGATACCAGACCGCCAAGATTTCGTGAACCTGATTCCATCATCGAGGTGAAGTATAGTATATAACTTTATACCCATTTGTTTTGATGACAATGTTTTAGTGTGTTCTCCCTGATGTTATTGTTTTGAGCAGATTATCCCTCAAGGTACTCCTGAAGATGATTCTGTTCCCTCTAATGATGCTGCCGAGCAAGCAGATAATGGCCATGAATCAGAGGGTCTCAGAAATGAAGGCCAGGAAGTTGAAGAAGATAGTAAACAAGTTGATGCCGACAGCATAGAGCAGTTTCCTCAATCGTATGATGGCAGGAAGCGGGAAATGGTTCCCAATAGAAGAGGTCCCATTCTGGGACCTGTTCACAATACCGTGCGTGAAGGAGATGGGATTTTACCTTTTCCTCCTGAGGCACCTCTCCAGTATCATCCTGGTTCTAAAGTTAGGGCACCCATATATCCAATGGGTCTTCTTGGGGCACCTCATGGAGGCAGGTAAAATCTATTTCATGCTAATGTCTTGGTTTTGTTGATGTTCAAGCCTGATATCTATTTCTAGCTATTGATTTGGAACAAGAAACATAATTTTTTTTCTGTTAGTTGCATCTCACACCCACATAGGTTCTGAGCTTTTTCCATTTCTATTTCTATGACCCTTGTATTTATAGAAGAAATTATAAGGGAAGAAATGTTCCAAAAAATGGACTGTGTTGCTTGGCTGAACCGATTGTACTGCGAACAAGGATAAAAATCTGTCCATTTTATCATAAAATCTTTTTTCTTAGAATACATATTGATTACACTAGTTAAGCTGACCAGTTCAACCAGAAAACCTAGCTACCCCTCCTTTTTATTTTTTTAATTACAATGGTTCAAACTTGTAGGATTGGCGACTGAACCGCATTAGAATGGATTGCGCGCTTGGCTATCCTGCATGCACAGATTAATGGAGATAGTGAGAAAATATCTCAACGAATTCTATAATTAAAAGCTTAACAAGTTCTATACTTCCAACTTGGGTGAGAACTCCCAGAGTTAGTTAGCTGAACTGTTACATTGTTGGGGTCTTTATTAATGTCTTTGATACACTGGTGAACATACAGGGGGTTTCAAACTCCCAAAATGTAAATATCCTACACTACAGATACTGTTGTGTTATATCCCAAAGGAACATCCTGAGCAAATTAAGTCAACCCTGCTGATTCTTGATAAATTTCTAAGCCCTGTGGTGTCTCAATCCTTTTCTTGGGCTGAGATGAATCCGATTCACAAACTTGAAATTTGACTCCTCTAACGCCTATTATATCAAGAGCTTTGCTAAACACCAGAACCCAGGAATTAATACCCTCCACTAGATGATCTCTGTCAACACTTCATTGGTTCAGTTACCATTATTAGGTTATTAGCTTATGAACCTTCTTAAAAAGAAAGCTGAAAATTATGATAGCTGGAGGAATCATGCAGGGATGATTATCAACACCAAAGTACAATCATGATTGTATCAATGTGGTCGTCACATTTAGGATGTAAGAGAGTTTACAAGCCTACAACCAATGTTCAAAAAGGTGTAGGCGCTTGCCTAGACGTTTTGGGGTCCTGGCTGCCTAGGCAGCCAGGTGTCCGCCCGGGTGGGCTATTAATTAAGATGAAAGTTGTATTATAATTATTATTTATTTATTAATTAATATCCATAAGATTTGGTTTTGGATATCAAATATTCACAAAATTTCAATTGCATCCAAAGTTTATGCCTATTCACAAACCCAATTTCATCGTCTAAATGAGGAAAAATTAAATCACTAAAAAATTCAATCTTTCAACTAATATGATAATACTTTAAAAATATCAAAATGAAATCGATGTCGGTGCAAACCTTGTCTATTGGGTCGCCAGAAGTCTTCAAAATCGACTACTAGAAGCTCCAAAAACGCCTATGAACTATTGCCTTTGTTTTGGGAAGAAATTGAAAAAAATAAAAAATTTATCGATCTTTCGATAAATCACAAAAGAGAGGTTTTTGGGGAGTTTTTCTCTCTCTAAAAGGCCTCGGTTTTTGTTTTGGTGACAAATTTCGACTCTCGCCGAGGGTCTTTTCCGCCATTTGACAAATTGTCATGAGGCGGCGCCTAGGCGGCCTCCTAGACTGTAGCACCTAGGCAGTGCCTTGCGCCCGTAGGCGGGCGACTAGACGTAGGATGCCTAATAGGCCCGCCTAACTAGCGCCTAGGCGTTTTTGAAAATTTTCTGCCTAGGTGACCGCCTAGGCGGGCGAATTTTCGAACATTGCCTACAACCTTAGGAAATTGATCACTTTGTAGAAGGGCTATTCAGGTAGCCAAAGTCTACACTTTGGAGTTTGGAGTATGAGCTGATTATAAGGATAGTTTATTGAATTTCCAGCTGTTTTAAGATAAATTAAATTTTACATTGTGTCGATATATCTTCACACTGAAATTATTGTCATAGGTTTTTTTTTTCTTTGGAGAAAGTAAGGAAAATTGCTTTTATTTCTCCTTTCCTTTTATTTTTTTGAAATCTATTTTTTCCTTAATTTTCCCTCAAATATTCATGGGGAAAGGAACATTTGAGCATATGTTCTCAATATCTCAATAATTGCCCAAAAAAAACTGCTCCTGGGTTTGATTCAAAAAAAAAAAACTCTTTATATATTATAACCTTGATACACCGGTAATTCTTGTTGGGTTCTTCTTTTAAGCCCTTGCCTTTTTGTTAGTGATATGCTTGAACATCATTTCCCAGATGCAACTCTTGACGTAATCATTTTTTTCAGGTTTCCTTAAATAAATTTTTGTTGTTGAGTTAAAGGTTCTTTTTGGATATTGTGATTCTATAAACACTGATTATTTGTTTCTGGATCTACAGGGGTTGGTCGCAGGGACCAACAGTACACGAGAGGTACCTTCCAATAAATAATGAGCCTCCAAATGTTCCCATCCTCGATGAATCCATTCGAGATCACAGGAAGAAAGAGAAATCATTTGATAGCATGGAATATAAAAGGAGTTCGGAAGTGCCAAGGCCTGCCTTAGATGAAGTGGCAAGGGAACAGAGTGTCGACCAGAGAGGTGATGCTATGGATAGTGAGCATATGCTCCCTGAACAGGTAGCCGATGAAGGTGAAGAAGTCATTTCAGACATGAAAATGCCGAATGAGGCCAATGAGGATATTGGTTCTTCTGTCCATCCTGGTAAGAGACAGAAATTGAGTTCCCTGATTGAGCCACTACCGTCTCTTCGAGAACCCGTTGATGATTTGAAGGCTTCAAGAAGTGATAATAGCAGGGGAAGGTCGGGAAGCAGCAAGGACTACCCAAAAAGGCATGAGGTGGGGGAGGAAGAGGAGGTCGAAGATGGAAGAGTAAGGCAGTTAGGCGAAGGGAAAAGGCGACATGGTGAGGAAGAGTCTAGTTTTCGTAGGAAAGATGATTATGTTCGAGATGGCCGGCATGAGGCTGATAGAAAACGTGTCGCTATGAAAGGAAGAGAGGACGTGTATCGCCGGGCTGGTAATGGTGCTTACCCCCTTCGTGAATGGGCTCTTGATGTTCCTCACTTCATTCGCAAGAATGAGGGGTTCGATAGACTGAAGGAGAGAGAAAATGGAATGGGGTCTTGGCCATGGAGAGAGGAAGATACACGTGGGAGGAGAGAGAAAGATGAGGATTTGAGGAGACGGGATCGGGTTGAGGAGATGGGTTCTAAGCACAGAGGTAAGGGGCATGAGGCAAGTAGGAGTGAGAAAGATGAGCTGAACCATCTTCGAAAAAGGGCAGATGATTTTGATTGGAGGGCTCACCATGATAAAGAAGTTTCAAGACAGAGGGAAGGTGACGATTTCTCATTGGTGAGGCATGATGCCTTGGATGACCCACGTGTAAAGAGGAGGAAGGATGAAGAGGTTCAGAGGAGAGAGAGAGATGACAAGGAAGATAACATATATAGGGTTCGGGAAGATGCAAGTAGAAGGAAAAGAGAGAAAGATGACAGCCTTGACCATAGGAGAAGAGAAGATCGAGCTAGATCTCGAGACAGGCCTGAAGATCACCACTCTTTCCGTCAGAGGGAGAGGGATAGCAGTTGGCGACAGAGAGAGAGAGAAGACCACCATAGGGGAGAAAGTGAGGGAAGATCAGCACAGCTCAGTAGAGAAAGAGAAGATGCACGGGGCTCAGCAAGGAGCGATCGTACTATGGAGGAGAGAGCTTGGGTTGGGGGTTCGAGGGCTATCAAGGATGGATCTAAATCTATGGGCTCTGATAAAGATCATCACCTTAAAGATAAAAGGCGACATAGTGAGCAACAACCCAAGATAAGGGATCGAATAGAGGAAGACACTTCTACAAGGCGGAGGGGTCGTGAGGAATCTGCATATTCCCGAGAAAGCCACCCAATTAATGAGGAAAGGAATTTCAGGCGTGAGAAGTCGACCACACAAAATGAGTCGGAGAGTCAGAGGATGTATAAGGACAGGTCCAAAGAGAGTAATACCAGGAAGATTAAGGAGTCCGAAAGGGTCGATCAAAATGATTTGGCTTCTGTTGCCTCGAATAAGCACGATCGAGCTGTTTCACACCGTAATGAGAAGGTATTTGGAAAAAAAATAATGATTGGGTTTCTATCTAAGCTTAAAGATTGAATATGAAATGTTTTTGCAAGTAATTGCTTTCTAAGTCGACTCTTATCATTTGAATTCTCGTTGATGCTGACTATTGGCTTTTTGTCAGTGTCTTGTGTTTTGTATTCTCTTTGTAACTTATTTCTATGTTGTTTGACTGGATAAATTGACCTACATTTCTCTTTTGTAAGCTTGCGGTTTTCCTTTTGTCATTTCATGTTTGATTGGCATATATTTTGACAATTTAACTGATTAGTTTCAGTACCCTAGGGAATTTTATCAAAATGCAGTGAACGCTGTTATACTCATCATGGTCCACCATCATCATAAGCATTGGATTAAATGGATGGTGATGGAGGGAGTGGCTGGTGGATTCAACACTCTCCATCCCATTTTGTTGGATGATGATGACTACACTGGATTAGGGTTTTCCATAGTTTCTTGGTTCTATTTTCCCATTACAGGTTATCTTTTATGTGAATATGCAAGGGAAGATGCAGAGTCTGTTCCAAAATGTAATCACGGATAGCTTACTCGAAATATTATTGACACAGGAAATGTATTATATGTTGAAACTGCAGGTTGCTAGGAGAGATGTGCCCTACCAAGCAACTAGCAATGCCTTTACAGGGCGAGGAGAACCTCGAGACCGTAACCACCCCAGGTACTCATCTACCTCAAAGAAGTCTAGCGATCATGATAGTCATGTTCGACAATCTGCAAAGCCTCCAAAACCCTCAGAGGAAGGTGTATCTGATGATGAAAGCTCGAGGAGGGGTCGTTCAAAGCTCGAACGCTGGACAAGTCACAAGGATAGAGAAGGTAATCCTCAACCAAAGGCAACCCGCGAGTCTGAGTCAAGCGAGCCTGAAAAAATTGAGGCATTGGTTTTCGACCAAGAAGATCTTGAGAGAGAGGATGAGCAAGATGTGAAGAGAGAGAATGAGAAGCTTCAATCCTTGGGTGAGGAAGAAAATAGTATTGGTTTCGAGATGAAAGGCACATCCAATGATGATTGGCTGGTTGTAGACGCAGATCGAAATGGAGAAGACCGACATCTTGAGACTGTTGAGAAGTTGAAGAAGAGGAGCGAACGATTCAAGCTGCCAATGCCCGGAGAGAAGGAGTCAAGTCGGAGGGTTGAGAGTGAGGCGGCCAGCCAAAGTGAGCATGTAGAAATCAAACAAGAGAGGCCTGCAAGGAAGCGAAGGTGGGTGAGTTGACTAGGTGAACTTGAATGTTTTCCTTTGGCAGTAAGGCTTGGTGGGTGCTCATTACAAGATAAAAGATGATGGAGTGCCTAGCATTGGCTCACTAGGGCCTCCAATTTCATTCTTAGAGTTTGTGCTGCCCATGCTCCCCACCCCTAACTTCTGATTCGACCTCATTTGGTGGGGAAAAAGCCCATGGACCTGTCTTTTGTTTTTGTTTTTAATTTCCTTTACTCTGAATATGACTGTACTGCAGTCTCTCTCTCTCTCAATCTCAACCAAAATGAAATGACTGCTACCCTATGTTTGATGTATGTATAATGTACCCTTGAGCACTTGTGTCCAGTGAAATCACCTATTGCGGTGGCTGGAGAACTAAGAAATTTCCGGTTTTCTAGCACTTTGTACTGAACAAGTAGAGTCTCTAAGTGAGAATATCAGCCTCTATAGTGGACAGGTAGGAATTTCTATGATGTATCATGGTTTCTCTGTGGATGCGTGCATCTTTATGTGCATGGCTGCACACTGAAGGCTGGATGCCTGGGGTCTCTTAGTTGTAAATTAGCCAATGATATTGGGATTAGGATTTGTAGAGATGGGGCATGGGTTTTGGGCTAGGCTTCTCTTTTATGCTATTTTGTATTTTTTTAGATTTATTTTTTTTCTCATTCTTTTCTTTTCGCCAGCTGAAACAGGGGTGCTTTCCACATGAAGGGGAAAGGGTGTAAAAGTGGATGGACCCCTTTGAGGGGGATTACTATCTCTTGTGAAGAATGAAAATTAATAACATGTAGGCATTTTTGAGTATTAAGGTTGCATATATTTGCCTAGAGTCTTTTGCTTAATTTTTGTGGCTTGTGTGGGTGATTGCATGTGCCTTGTGTATTGATTCTTGTTTGAATAGATTATTCATATAAGGGTGTGGTTTGTATAAGGCTGAGGCTCTAAACAATCAAAGCAAGGCGCACCTCAAATGTTCATTAGAAAAAGTATCAATATTGAAAATCCCTTAAATCCGATCATCTTGACTTTGAGATAATATGGACAAAAAAAAATGGATTTCACTTCACATAATGCGTGTCTTAGTAGCGTACACTTAGCTTGCTTCTCTTGTGCATGTAATGTGCTCTTGTGGATTATAGCTCAGAAATGGTTCTTCTTTAAGGCCCTAGTGTAAGTTGGTTTGAGGTGTTTGTTCTTTGCTGTGGTGCATTTGCAAGTGTATGTGTCCATGTGTGTCGAGCGTAATGGTCCGAAAGTTGCACTTTGGAACCCAACCGTTCAGTGTTTTGTTTGGGCAGTTTTAAAGTCCTTTGGGATCCGTGGTAAATAATAACAAATCTAGCAAATTTGATACTTTAAAGTGAAAAAAATCTGAAAAATTTGACACCTTGCAGTAAAATGTCAAAAAATATAGACCATTTTTTAATACCCAAATTTGGGCTTGTACATAAAATTCTCAAAATATTTTTCACCTATTGGTCAAAACCAATGTTTTAAGAATCGGATGGGCCTGTTCAATTTGCCATCGACCGGGCCGGATGGATCTACATTGGTAATCAGGGTTACCTTTGCCACATGGACCTAGCTAAAAAAAGAACAGAAATAATAGTGAAAATATTTTAGAAAGTTATCTGTTTGTCTATGAAAAGATGAACTAGAAAGCACCAAATATTGAGAGTCTAGTTCTTGTTTGAGTGTCAAACGTTCATTTAACAATCTAAAATATAAAAACTTCCAATAACAACATCTATAGTATTAATCATATGAGTAATGACCCACACTTATGTGTGTAAGACTCTAAAGGATCACCATTAAATATGGCACAGATCTCTAAAAAAGTTATCACATGGGTGTGAGACTTGATTTTTCTAGAGATCTGAGTTAAATTTAATGGTGATCTTTTGAGGTCCTAGACACAGGTGTGAGAGGGTCTCATAAGATCATTACTCTAACCATATAATTTAAAATGTTATTAAATAGGTCAAAACATACAATCTAAAACCAAAATAAATGACGAGATGACTCTTAGATCATACTGACCATTATCATCTTGATCACTATTGTATTGCTGAGCGACTGAGGGAACAAGTTTGATGGTTCGGGATCTTGGAAACGAAGCTAACTATATCAACCCCATAGGTACATGAAGAAATCCGCAATGGTAAACCCTCCTCCTAACCCGAAGTCCCCGAGGCTGATCCACCCAACTTGCTCGCACCCCGTCTAGTACTGGTTGGCTGATCCTCCTTTGTGTGAGCTCTTACATCTTGTTGGATAGCCCCTAATCATCATCATCATCATTATCGTCGTCATCATTATCATGGTGATCATGCTCTCCCTCATTTTGTCTTGCAACTTCCATATTGAGCAATGACTCATCCTCCTCCACCACGCACTCCTCAACTGGATCCTCTATAAATATATGTTAAACGTTTATCAGATTCTACTCAATAGCTTCCCTTTTCAACGAAGGTTGAAAATGTAGTTTACATAGAACAATTAGTGAATCCAATCTAAAGTTAACATGTCAATCTTAAGGATATGCATCCACTATGTAATGTACTACAGAACAAGTTTGGCTGAGCACCTTGATCATTGTGGTTTTTAAGTGGGGTGCATCAGTACCATGTAAGTTCCACCATTCACTTGAAAAGAACGATAAGTAATTTTAAGAAAATCCCAACTGGTATAAAAAATAAAAAGATGGGAAAGAGCACATAAGAAATATTTGAGTTCCAACCTGGATATAGTCTGGCAATATTCTTAAAAATAACGCTTGTGCGCCCTATACAAAGGTAGCTGATAAAGATTAGAAGGCCTGGTGGATTGGACGTGGTGTATGCTGTTCGCGGACGGTAATACCTCGCGGACGCTCTATACAAATTTACTATTAATACCTCGCAACGGTAACGTGGTTTATGCTGTTCGCGGACGGCATAGTTTTGATCAATGAGACCCAAAGAGATATCAATACAAAATTAGGACTTTGGAGGGATGCTTTAGAAACTAAAGGTTTTAAAATTAGCCAAACTAAGACAGAGTATATAGAATGCAAGTTTAGCAATAATAAGAGTAGTGACTAGGTAGTAGTTACGATTAATGGCTAATATATATAAAAAAACAACGTACTTTCAGTATCTTGGATTGATAATTCAGAAAAAAGAGAGAATCAGAAAGATGTATTACATAGAACTAGAGCTGGACCAGTAGAGTGAAATGTGCAACTGAAGTTTTATGTAATCGCCGCATACAATGAAACTGAAAGGCAAGTTATATAGGATAGCTATGAGACCAACTTTACTTTGTGGGGTGGAATGTTGGGCGGTCAAGAAACAACATGCTCATAGGATGAGTATAGCTCAGATAAGGATGTTGAGATAGAAGAATGACAAGACAAGATGGAGATAGAATTTGAAATGAATATGTTCAAGAGAATTTAGATATGACTCCAACATGCGAACAGATAAGAGAAAGTAAACTTGGATGGGCTGGCCACATATAGCGCGCATTCAGTACAACACCTATTAGGAAGTGTGAGCTAGTTCAAGTAGAAGGCTGAAAAAGAGTAATAAATAGGCCCAAAAAGATATGTTGAGAAAAGATACAGGGATTTATGACTTCACTGAGGATATGACCATTGATAGAGTGGAATGATAGATTAGAATTATCATAGCTGACCCCAAATAGTTGGAAAAATGCTATGATAATGATAATGATGACCTCACAAGAGTAGATGTGTGTAGTCTCATAATTTTCCTAACACGGTGAGTTAAATATATCATTTTTTGTTGAACTTGGGGGTTCAATGGGCTTTTTATAAAAACAATAGGTTATTTGGGATAGTAATTTTAGAGCGACGGTATATGTCTTCCTTCCTAAAAAGTTTTTTAAAAGATGTATTTCAACATCTCATCAATAAAACATATGGGATTATATGCGATGAGACTATTTACTTTTGATTCAAGGTGATCACAATTACTTACGATCATCCGATGTGAACTTTGATAGCTTGGATGTGTCACAAAGTTTGAATAATTTTTTTTTTTGAAGTTTGAGCTTGGTTAATGGAATAATGATAGCTACCCAATTTCACATCTAATGGTGAAGATTAATGTGACCACCTATACCAAAGGTAAATGGCCTCATTCTATTCTTTCCCAAAACATATAATGAATGGTGCAATTTGTATAGAGCCGAGGCTCTAAACAATCAAAATAAAACGCACCTTCAAATAATGTCGAGAAATGTGGTTTCAATATTGAAAATATTTGTGATCATTTTAAAATATATTTTGATATTTAGTTATAAAATTTAAAGCTTTTAAAATAGTGTAGATTGAGCAGATCTATAAAAACTTGAAAATCTTGAAAATTGAAGGTAAAAAAATGCGTTAAAACATGTACAATTTCCAAAGTTTAAAATCTATTTTTTTCTCATATCCATGCATCTTAATGTGGTGATGATCAAATTGAAGATATTTGGGCATGAAAACAACCTCTTCTAATGAAATTTTTGAGGTGGGCTCTAGTTTGATTGTTTAGAGCCTCAGCTTTATATGAACTTTTTACCGGCCTAAGTTTCCCTCTTTCCTAGTAGGCTAGTTTTATTTGGGTTGGTATTCCTTGTAGGCTTGTACCAAACAAATGCTACTGATTATCACCCGGACCTTTTATCCTGTACAGGGGTGGCCCGGCCCGTTTTGACCCCACATGTTCGAATATCTCTAGGGCCCTCTCCACTGCAAGCATTCGAAACCCTTCGCCATGAGTTCTTCATCTCTCAAGTCTCTTTACTCTCTTCCCCCTACTGAAACCCTAGATCTCTGCAATGCCCTCTCTCTCATCCCAAGGATCAAGCTCCTCCTCACCTTCTATCGCTCTGACCCCTCAGTAAAACCCATTGACGAATGGCAACTCAAACTCTCTCTCCTTTCTTTCCTCAAGACCTCCATGTCCATCACTGTACCAGAAGAGGACCTTCACTTAGAGAAATGCAAGGACCTTAAGAAGAGAAAGAGGGATGATCCTGTGGCTTCTGCAACTCTCTATATATATGATCTCTCTCCTTTTAAGAAGCTATTGGCTACCGATAATGAGGGTTCGGCGAAGAAGTATAACGAGTGGAAGAGTGAGGTTTCTTATAAACTTGATGGCATTGAATTGAATTTGGAAGGTGTGAAGTTTAGGATGAGTGTTTCAGTGCCTGTATCCGATCATTTTGAGAGAATGAAGAAGGAGTGGGAGGAGTTTTATAGAAATGAAAACAGAGGTCTGTATGATAATATGATTTGTTAAGTAATGTTTCTGTGTGTTGCGGATTTTTATATCTGCAATTGTCGATGAATTAATTAGTTTGGATGGGTATTTGCTTACAATGTGATGGATTGATATTGAATAGTTGGTTTAGGGTTTAGTATGTTTACATTATGTTCGAGCTATTTGATTGCTGCAGATGTTTGTGAATTAGAAATTCATTTTGTCGAGCATTGGTGAATGGGGAGATATCCATTCACCATTCTCTTCGGAATGTATTTGATTATAGAGATCCATTTTTTTCTCTCTTTGTTTTTTTCAGATTTTCTTCAAAATTTGGCGATTGTTTTTGTAGTCTTTTCATTTGCTTTCTTAAGCTTGTTTTCTGGTTTTTTTACCCTATATATGTTTTTATTTTATTTTATTTTAGAAGTGTTTGTTTTTGTTGCACTTCTCTATTTCCACTGAAGATTTTTACACTCATGAATTAGAAGTAGAAAATGATAGTTGTTATACAAATTGTAAGCTATCTTTTTCAAGGCATGCCTTTATTACTCTTGTAGCCAACATTTTGCGATTTGTACAAAACTGGCATGGTGAACATTGAAAGGTAAAATCTTCAGGAAAAATTTTGGAAAGGAAACTTGTGCTTGCAAATTGTTATCTGAGCTTTATTTGCTTTTGCTTACTGATAATAATGTGTGAGTATTCTAAATAGAAAATAAAATAACACAATCTTCTCTATTATTGGTTGAAGTCAGTGAATACTCAGCTTATAATATATGTGGCTCAATATGCATATTCAGGTTATTATTCACGTAGCATGAGACAGCAACCAGATACACTCATTTTGGAAGGTGTCCCTTCTCGTTGGTTTGCAGAACCAAGAGTATCGTCCAAAGCTTCGATGCTTGTCACCCACACAATATTTTCAGTGTTAGGAAAAATCAGGTGAGTGAAACATTGGCCTTGCCATTTCTGTTGAAGTTTACATGTTGACATTCAACATGTTGTTAGTTCCAAATTTTAAAGCTTTTAATATTTTTTATGAATTTCGGGATGGTTATATGATTAGACCTCTCATGTTTCTAATTAAAAGTATGAGTTGCTTTAAAATATGCTCTTCCTGGAATAAACCATCATAGAAGTCGGTTAAAGATGCTGATTATGTGATGATCTGTGCCCTTTAATGTCACCTGTTATATTGAAATCTGGGTGTAGTTATCTGATAAGGGAGCTAGCTGCAAGGAGGTTTTTGGTAGAATTTGTTTCTATTGCCCATTGTTTAAATTTCATGGGTAATGGATGATATGCTTTGGGGCTACTTAATACCGTTTGGAGACCGAGTTGCTTTGGTTTCATGATTATTAAAAACTGAAACTTTGCATGCTATACGCCCATGTCTAATGCTGTGTGCTAGTAATTCTTTACATGAATCAATGTTTTGAAACTTGACTTAGGCCTTAGGCTCGGCCATGGCCTGAGCTGAGTTAGTTGGCCGAGTCCGAGTCCTGGACAACACCAAAATAGGGCCATAAATTCCCAAAAAAGAAAATGCAAATAATTATTAAAATTAATTCAAAATAGAAAAAACTAAAACAAGTAATAGGAATCATTAAAAGTCCATAAAAGATGGAAAAATTCTATAGAAAAAGATGGATTATTTTGTTTGATACCTTGAACCATTTCGGAAAAGTAAAAAAAGGAAAAATAAAATAAAATTCAAGGCATGAAATAAGAAAAGTTCACCTATCATCATAAAAAACCTAAAAATCGGATAGAAACAAAATTCTAAATCTTATTGATGTAGAGAAAATTTGAGGAAGCAGTAAAATCAGCATGGAACAAGCTAAACACAAACACAATTCAAAGAAACTTAGGGTTTCTTCTCCACACCCAAGGCAGGGTTCCAAAAGCCTAAGCTTTTCTCTCTTTCAATTACTAAAAATCATGTGGAATGGCCCCCTCAAGGCTCCATACACCTTTGATATATTATAATTTAGGGAAATTATCGCAAATATACCTATATTTTAATAAAATCGAAAAAAAAAAACCCAACTTTTCAAAACCTCGCCTACACCCTTTTTTTCCAATTTTTGGCTTTGTTTAGACAAAAATATCCTTTACGGTAGTTTTTTTTATTGTAATGAACATTACAGTAATTTAAATATCGTAATACGTTGAAGGAGTATTACAATAATTAAAATACTGTAATACCGTAGAGTAGTATTACTGTAATTTAATTACCGTAACATTACAGTAATTTAAATACCGTAATACTCATTACGGTAATTAAAATGCCATAATACCTTAAAATAGTATTACGGTAATTTAATTATCGTAATATTGCCCAATCCTCAATACAAAGGATTTTCTACTCTCTCAAGTCTACTATCTATTTACTCCTCGACAAAAATCCATGCTAGATGTATTTTTCAAATTTCAAATTTTTAGGATATAATCTGTACTTAATTTTTATGTGATTTTCAAAATTTTAGAACAAAAACACTCTTAAATAGGTGTTTTTGAGAGAGGGAGTAGATCTACATCGTGCTCTCATGGGAACATGGATTTTTTGAAAAGAGAGAGGGTTGCCTTGATATTAGCTTCAGTTTGAAGCTTTTCAACCAATAGGAGGGTGAAAGTGACTGGGAAAGTATTACAGTAATAAGAATATGGTAAAGACTTCTCACACATTACGGTAATTAAATTTGAAAGACTTTCCACCATCCTATTGGTTGAAAAGCTTCAAACCGAAGCTAATATCAGGGCTATCTCTCTCTTTTTTCAAAAAATCCATGTTCCCATGGGAGCACAATGTAGATCTACTCCCTCGCTCAAAAACACCGATTTAAGAGTGTTTTCGTTCTAAAATTTTGAGAACCATATAAAAATTAAGTAGAGATTATATCTTAAAAATTTGAGATTTGAAAAATACTGCTAGCATGGATTTTTGTCGAGGGAGTAAATAGATAATAGACTCGAGAGAGTAGAAAATCCTTTGTTATGAGGCTGGGCAATATTACGGTAATTAAATTATCGTAATACTACTTTAAGGTATTTTACATTACTGTAATTTAAATTACCGTAATACAATTTTAAGGTATTACGGTATTTTAATTACCGTAATACTCCTTCAACTTATTATGGTATTTAAATTACCGTAATGTTTATTACGGTAAGAAAAAACTACTTTAAAGGGTATTTTCATCCAAAAAAAGTTGAAAATTGAGAAAAAAGGTGTAGGTAAGGTTTTGAAAAGTTGAGGGTTTTTTTTCCGATTTTATTAAAATATAGGTATATTAGCGATAATTTCCCTATAATGTAATATTTTAAGTACAAAAAATGTCCAAAACAAATAATTTATTGACCCATATATCCTAACTCAACTTAATATTTGTAATGACAGTTTTACCCCTATGAGCAGTAATTGTCTGTACTCATGAAGTAATGAAAAATATGAAAACCCTAGAATACCTAAAAAACTAAAAGACCCTAGAAATAAGCTCTAAAACTAAAAATATAATATACATCATTTGAAATTAAATAAAAAATAATAATAATTTTGCCCCTCCATCACTTATATTAGTTTTTTAAACAAAATTTGTATTGTTAAAAGGAATTTGACATAAAATAGCTTTGGCAGGGTGTCGAGACCGTGTAACTCTTGTCATCATTGTTTATTCATTACTCTTCTGTATCATCGTCTTGAATTAGCTTATTTAAAGGTGAAAATTATCTCGGTCTCAGTGGGCTGTCTAAATTGCAAGAGTTTAATCTGCAATTCGGAAGGAAAAGATGCATATACTTCTTGATGAAGTTTTGGAGGATAAACAGATTCGTACTTGTGAACTTTCAAAATACAATAAAACAAAATAAAGTACAGTTGCTTGTGGCTCGATTTATAGTTTTTTATTTTATATATTACTTGTAAAATGTGTTCTTATTTCTAATAAATAAGAAATGACACATGTCTAAGTTTTACGAGGCTAAATCACCATAGTTGCTTGTCTGGTGTTGGTTAGAAAGCATGTACCTATCTAGTTTTCGGAAGTTAAATTAGTTGTTGTAACTGGTCTACGATAAAGTGGCTCGGCTGCACAACTTACCTCTGGAAGAGGTGAGTGGCTTGGGTGAGTCCTAGTTGACCCTCCTGAGTTTGTGGCAAGCTCCCAAATAAAAAACTCTAAAACTGGGAAAAATCCTAAAAATAATTAAAAAGAAAAAGTGAAAAAGTACAAAGTAGAGAAGCAAAAAAAATTATAATAATTAAAAGTTATACAAGATGAGAAAAAAATTCAAAAAATAGAAAATATAGAAAACTGGTTGAATATCATTTTCTAAAAAACTGAGAAGAAATAGAGAAATGGAATATATTAAAATCATAAAAACATAAAAAATATGGACAAAAAATAATTATAAATCAATTATCAAAATACACATGAGAGCTGAACTATTTAAAATTTTACCCATTTGCAACTATTCTAGCTCATGCTCATTGGTCTATTTATGGATGTTTTGGAATTAAATCAAAACATAAGTTAGAATGTTAAATAGTTCAGCTCTCTTGGGTATTTGGATAAGTTTCCCATAGATTAAATATATGTACTTAAAGTTTAAAAAGGAAATTTACCCAAAATTTTGAGGCCGGTCCCCAATCTTCATGCGCAGTGTGAATTGATGCGTCCAATCCTTGTCCAAGCGTCCTTGTAGAACCCCAAGTGAAAGCTCCAAACCAAATTCGGGTTTCGAAATTGGATTTAGATGATCCAAGCTCCTGAGATTTTTGGATAAATAGTAAATCCTATTTAAAATCTCAGTGAGAGAAAATGCGTGATTGGATGAATAATCCAAAAATAGGCTTAAGGATAATTTTGTCGAAGATTTACCAACCAATGCAAAGAGATCGCAAGGTCTCAAAATGGACAAGACCATGTCAAAATCTTCAATCTGTCAAATTTGATTTTTATTTTTTATTTTTTATTTTTCTTAAGTTTGATCCATCTGGTGGATAGACCATGCAAAAATGGTTCTTAGGACGAAATTCAGCTCAAATATGTCTCTGGGCTCTTAACTCTCAAAATTGGAGAAAAGGAGGGGGCCGGATTTCTTCCCCATCTTTGCCTATTTTGTGTACAGTACTCGAATACTGTAGCAATGTACTCGAGTGCTGAAAAATTTTAGCGATTCAGCCCGAGACTCGCTCTAGTTTTGTAGTACTCATGTGAGTCTCTAGTCTCTACAGTACTCAAGTACTGTATGTATCCTTCATAGCCCCTGAGTTGGGGGGTGTTCTGGGCTCGGCAGGCTGCGAAGCCTGAGGACTTGGACGAGTCCAAGTGGGAAAACAGTGATTGTAACAAATGAGAGATGATTCCTAACAATCTCTTATGATGAGCATTATTTCTTTCCGTTTATGAACATTTGCATGGTTGAGAGGATTGTGATATTTTCTTTGATGAATGTTATTATAGTTTAGCTGATTATATGTTGTGTTTCCTAACTTGGTTGCACCTTGACTTCCAAAATTAGGAATCTTAACATTGTGGGCAACGATGATCTAGGTAAGATCATGGAGCAGGGCAGTGGGCAACTTGTTTCTGGTCTTCAATGTAAAATATGGGTTCAATTTGAGAATAGTGGGGACTTCTGCAATGCAATGAAGATTTTATGTGGCCATTCAATGCAAAAGGTGTGGTTAAAAGCTCAAAGGGATTGTAAATCATTGGTGTATGATATATGTTACACAGTGCTTCCCCTGCCCATTCCACTATCAAGATTAATCCCGAGTGAATGACTGTCATCAGGAACTTTGGTTAATTTTAATGGATGGGAGGTGCCACTTTGTTGTGTCATATATCACTAAGCAATGGTCTATTGTTGACCACCTTTCACCTCAAAGAGAGGAGTTCTGCATATTGTTCATTTTTTGGTATGATTTTAGAGACAATCTCTTGCTTCCTTCAATCCATTCAAACAATTGCAATCTATTAAATATTTATTTCATTTGCTTATAGAAAAGGACTATCTTTTCATGATTTTAAGCAGCAAGGATCACGCCTCAAGGCAAATTATGAAGTGACATGGGATAGAGATGGATTTTTTCGGAACATGCCCAAAAGAACTCCACAATATCGGGAGGAAGAAAGTAGCGGCCGAAGGCCAGTGGCTGTTAGAGACTTTAAGACTGAAGTCCCTCGACTGCAGTCTCAAATCATACGATCTGGACCAGATGATGTAAACAAAAGTGCAGCACCAAGAAGGTTTAAGGTGAGTAACTTTTGTAATTAGTGGCATTCAACTCTTTGCTTTGAACATATCAATCCAAATCCATTAACATGCACAGATTCGCTGTAATTTTTTTCACTGACGCAAATTTTATTCTGGTGGCTTAACCCTTCGTTTTATTAAAATTATACAGGACTGAAGATTCTTTTGAAGATTTAAATAGAAAAGATTAAAGGATTACCTTAAGACCTGCTGACCGGACTGTAAAATTTTGTCAATGATGCGAAGGTAAGAGAAGGTTGCTTCAATGAACAAATGTACATGACCAGATCGTATAATATATGATGGAGATTTTTGAGTAGTGCTTCTGTTAAATTGTAAACAAAAAAGTAATATTTGAGTTACCACAAACAAAAAAAACAAAAATCGACGTAGTTATCCTTGTGAATACTCGCAATAGATATTTCTGACGGGACATATTTCAAGTTTGTCTTTGATTTTAGAAGGGTGTAATAGTTTTCATCACGGCATATGTTAAGTCTCTTTATTTACACTCTAATTGATGGTGTATACATTGCATCAACATACCCACGATATGCTCTTAAAAGCGTTATTTTTGAAAAATATCCATATTCATTTGAAGGTATCACATAATATGAAAAACAAAAGAAAAGGCTAAAACAATGTTTAACCATTTCTACTAGGTAATTTCAAATATATGAACTGAAATTCCCAGTAAAAAAAAAGAGAACTGAAATTCTCAGAAAAAAAATTTGTGCATTTATCACATACTTTAAATCAGTGATTCAAGAAGCGTCGGTTCGGCACGGAATCTCCCGATTCGACTTGGGAATCAGTCACCCCGTCTATGTTCTATGAATATATAGGAAATCGTCCCGGTATAGAAGAGAACAAGCGATTTGCTATAGTAAAAATGTTGTTTCTATATGGTAAAAATGTTGATTCACCAATTCAGACTCATTCTTGGTTGGTTCACTGTTTTTTCGTCGGTTCCCTATCAGTAAAACGACTATCTGGACCGTCGATTTACCGATTTGGATCGGGTTTTGCAATGGTCGATCTTAGTCACCGATCTGTTTTTTAAATGACTGCTTCAAATAAGTGATTTAAAAAAAAGGATCGGTAAATAGTATCGGGCATTGCAAGAAGGCGGTCTGGATCGGTGAATTGGTGGTCCAAATCGTTGTTTTATTGATAGTGAACCGGCTAAAAAACACCTACAAAAACAGTGAACCAGCCTTGAATCGGCTTTTTTACTATAGCAAAATAGCATATTTAATGTAGCAAATTGCAGGTTTTCTTCTAGACTCAGGCGATTTCCTATATATTCACAAAACCTGCACTGGGTGGCTGATTCTCGGGCCGAACCAGGCGATTCGGTGCTTTTTAAATCACTGCATCAAATGAATCAATAAATTTAAAAACAGTATAAATTAATTGATATAGGGATAAAAAAGTATTTTGAAAAAATCTGTTTTGGTCACTTCTTCTTTTTTATTTATTTGAAAACCCTCCTAGACGGTCTGTATAAAAAATCCTTTCCTGAAAATGAGCTCTCTACCGGTGAGAGCAGTGACGATGATATCCATAAAAGAGATGAAGGTCTAAGGCACAATGGAAGGAGTGTCCTTCGACAATGTGTCCAGAAATATTTGGCTGAAGGTTCTCTAAGTGCCCACAGCGCATCGATCCATTAAAATTCAAAACAAATGATCCCACCAAATCCACCACTCCAGACCGTACACTGCCATCCAAGTTCAGCATAAACCACTTCATAAGAATGATTGGAGGACCTCAAAGCAACCATACAAATGGCCGCCTCTATCCGATCCAATCCAATCCATTCCATCGCAATTATCATTATGCCCCTCTTTTTTTAGTCCATTTTCTAAACGCTTTCTAACTAGGGTATGGTCCTTTATTTACTTTGTGTGATACCTAATAGATGACCAGAAATATGAGCTGATCACTAAATCCGTCACACATGCCACCTTTCCAAACCAACTGGATTTGCATGCTCTGCTGATTGTTTGCACTATATTATATTTCTTGTCCCATTGCTTTTCTCTTGAGATTTGTTATATTGTTTAGTCTAGCCTCAGTTAATTACAAAAAAAAAAAACCCAAGCCTACATTTTCTATGTAACCTACCCAACCCAATTTTTTTCTCTCACTTTTGTTCTAAAAAATACGCTTTCTATGTAAATACCCTTCGAACCAAAAAATAAGTAAAAAAATACTTAAACTATCCTCCCTTTTTTTTACCTTACTCTCTCTCCTCTATCCCACCAAAATAGGGGCTTCAGTACTGTGTAAGTACAGTCAGATAGTTGCAAAAGGCGGTCCGACAGTTGCAAAGGGCCATTCGACAATTGCAAGGGCCGATCGACAGTTGCAAAGGGCGGTCCGGCAATAGATGTTACTGAATTTCAGGACTCCAACACTATGTAAAGGGCGATCTGGCAGTACTCTGTTTCGGTCCGGTATTTGTGTTAAGGCGGTCTGGCAGTACTCAGTTTCGGTCCGGTAGTTGTCTTAGGGCGGTCTGGCAATATTCAGTTTTGGTCCGATAATTGTGGGCTCCGACAATGTGATGGTGTGCTTATTGGGGTCCAAAATTCAACATCTGGCCAAAATGATTTTTGTGTATATGAAGAGTATTTCAATCTAAAAAAAATGAATTTTTTCCTTTGGAGATATTTGCATAGAAAGTTTGTTTTGGAGAAAAAAATTGAGAGAAATGGTTAGGTTGGAGTAAGTTGCATAAAAAGTATGGTCAAAAGTGTTTTTTTTGTAATTTTCTTTTCATTCATTCCTCGAATGAATGATAGTGTGCGACAAAATTGAAGAAATTCTCAGTTCCAAGAACCAAAAACTTCCAAAACCTAAGAGAAAACTCAGACCACCCATTGCGAAACCAGAAAGGTCGTGAGCTCGTCGTCGGGAACTCAGAGGGTACACGAGCCTCTCGTAAGCAATCAGTTTCCTCAGCTGTTTGAGTTTCTGCCTCACCCTGGAATGATAACACGGCCAAGTATTGGCAAAAGGGCTTCACCGATACCAAACACCAAGGTCTAAGAGGATGGTCTAAGAGGGTCGAGCTTCTGTCGGATCAGGAAGTAAACATCCCCCTTTGTATTTTGTTTTTAAAGTAATAAAGTTTACGGTTTCTGCCGTGTGACACTAGTTTGTTTCTGTTTTATTCTAGGCATAATCGAGTCACAATATCACACGAGACCACCACGAGAGTCTTGGGTCAAAATGAACTTTGATGCCAGTAGGGGGGGGGTACGGTGTACCGTTAAAGGATAATGTGGGTAATATACTTTGGTCCTATGAAGATCGTCCGCATAACCGTTGGATCAACGAAGCAGAGCTATGGGCTCTAAAATTTGGTATTATTAAATTGGAGCCAAAGCCATTATAGTGGAAAGAGACTCAGCAAATGTAATTAATTGGTGCAGGTCCCCTTATCGAACACCAGGCAATGGAGCTCCATGATGGATGAAGTCCTCTATGGCTTAATTGGTCCGCGTTGTCCTCTATGGTTTAATTGGCCGGCGCTTGATGATTTGTAAGGTTACGCCCAAGGCTCAATTTCTACCAAAAAAAAGCTTTCTTTCCCACCGACTAACCAAAAAAAAAGTCCTCTACAATTTATAGCTATTTACACAGGAAGCACAACAAGACGCAGACAGTTTAATGAAAGTTCCTGCAGGCCAATTAGACCGTCATCCTTTTCTCTTTTCTATGCTTTTGAGACTGCACTGTATTGTACATTTGTACTTGTTTAACTTTGTGCCCCTCTCATCCCCCTGTCTTTTTCCTTCTTAAACATTGACGTACTTGATTTCATATTCTCAATGAAATCTTTTTGAAGTAAAAAATAAAAATAAAATAAAATACTGTTCCTCTAGTGATCCCATTTTAGCTGGTGGTGTTATTTATGAGGTGTTACCCCTGAAAGTTACAAAGAATTTACTGAAGCATTGCAAAGGAAATTTAAGCTAAATTGCAAAGATTGGTCTTGTGGTCGAGAATTCAATGAATGATGGGAAAGACACAATTTTTGTTGGTGGTGCTATGGATACTTTTTTGATCTCATATTTTGGGATATAATTTTTACAGCCCATAGCATAATCTCAAGAAAAATAATATCTGAAATAAACTCTCTATATACTAAAAAAAGCATATGCCTCAAGATTGAATAGAGACCCTTCAATTTTTGAAGAGCTAGATCTAAGTGTCACAAAACTTAAAATTTGAAGTTTTTCATTTAAAAATAATCGTCTAGCTATTATTATGTGTTTCTAAAAATTATAGAGTAAAACAATTGTCTTGAAAAGATGTTTTGAGCGAGGGAGAGAGAATTATGTGTTTCTCAAAATTATGGATATGTGCGTGCACTTAAAAGGACTTGGAGGAAATGGGCAACCAAATAGCACATGTCATGTGAATTTATGAAATGGGTTAGAAAAAGAGAAAACACATCGCATGTGTGGGATCCTCATGAGTAAAACGTTCTATCAAAAAAAAATTCAAGTCTAGACTTTGCATTTTTTTTGTATGATGAGCCTTTTTGTGCCTTGGTAGAACTTTTTAAAATTTTAATTTGAAAAACTTGAATACAATCCAAATTGCCCAAATGGTTTCACCAGATTTTTGGATGAGAATCCAAGATTTTTGAGTGAAAGTCCGAAACATTTGCTAGATTTGGGTACATATAAACCAGCACTTCAGCATGTTGTATATTTACCCATATTTATATATATATTTTTTATATAAATTATGGGTTCCACAATAGTGAAGGAAGAAATAATAATAATAAAATTTGAGTTTATAAATATTTTGATCCGATTGTCCAAAAATTAAATTAATTTTGTTTTTTATGAGAAAATTATTTATTTAAGGCACTTTTTTTATTGTCTATAATGTTTCTTGCATGGTATTATTCAAGGCACTTATCGAAACTTACCGAATCTTCTTCAATAATTTGATAAGAGCGGGATGTTGCACACTTTTCTTTTTGTTTCATTTTTTCTGATACCATTTCTTTCCAAGTGATCATCTTGATTTGTCCCATTATTTCTTCTTCTTCTCCTTTATTTTTCTCCGAGGGCAAAAGTTGTAGTAATAGAAATAGCCGTAGGAGTAGTGCTTCAATTATTCAGGGTTTCCATTGTACGAAAAATTATTTTTTATGACTCTGTAATCAACCCCTAGAAACTCTTTTTTTTTCATTTTTTTTTTCTTTAATCTTTTTTTAATGGTATTATTCAAGGCACTTAACAAGCACATATTAGTTATGTTTTTTGGATCATCGCTATGTTGAGGAAGTTAAGTTACATGCCAAAATTTGGCATCTTTCAATGCTCCGAAAATGGGGTTTTTGCAAGGGGATAGATAACCGATGCGTTCACACCTAAACATAAAATCTTTTTAGCTTTTCAAATAGTGGTCCCATGGTTCCGTTTTAATAAGAACTTAGGCAAAACACATGCATTTTACCAGTTATTACTTATTTGTGGAATATTGGCCTCATTAAAAAAAAGATAATAACTATTGGGAAAGCTTTCTATGTTCCTTCTACATCATAGAAGTTCCATCCTCTCCTTATCCAACCATCCAATTTTGAATGGAGGGTTAAGATTGCCCCAATCACAATGTCACGTCTCTACACTGTTTTATTTTTTATTTTTTTTCTATAAACTGTTTTGACACAAAATTTTGGACGTCCATTCCTCTATTAAAGTCGCACTAAATAAAAATATAAAAAAATATTTTCAATAAAATAAAAAGACCAAAATACCCCTGAAAATTTCAAGGGGTATTTTTATCATTATTTTTATCAAAAAATTATTGTTAGTATTTTTCATTGAAAATATGGCATGTACCAAATTTCATATTCAGAATATTTGTATTAAAAAAACTAAAAATAAAATACTTTGAGACGTCGGATCTAAGATCAAACGGTGAGTGGCTCTCTTGATAAAAATGGACAGCTGGATGGTAAGAGGAGGATAGAACTTCTATGCTGTAGTCCCATAACACTATTTACCTTTGGTACAAGGTGGTCACAATTAATCTTGACTATTGGATGCGAAATTGGGTGGTTGCATTTATTTCATTGACCAAGCTCGAAGTTCAAAATTTTTTTTTTTTCACTTTATGATACACTCGAGCTATTAGACTTCACATTGGATAGTTATAGGTAATTGTGATCTCCCTATACCAAACGTATATGGTAAGATTGTCTACAATCCCTTTTTTTTTTATGCTTTTATGTTATTTCCCTTATTCATGTACACCAATTTGTTTTGGTATTGGCCCCAGCCCGTTATGGATATAACCTCTAATGCTTGTGGTGGTCAAAAAATCAGGACTTGGGTGCGAAGTCCATAGACAGAGACTCATCACTTGCGAGGGCTCCCTGGTTCTCGAGTTGGTTTGCTGATCTAGACTGAGTCGAGTCACGCGTATAGGTGAATAGGTGAAAGAAAAAGAAATAATTAGTTAAAAAATCGGTCAAGACTCGGATTGACTTGAATCTCTCGTAATTCACCACAAGGTGCCACCCAGTTCAGTGCAAATCATGGGAATGGGAATTTTCCATTAAGGAAGAATCCAGAACTAGATTCCCAATCATCCGACACGAGTAGTTCTTAGTTAGCTCGATGATTTTTTGAACCCCACTGCGCACATTCTCTATCTCATTAGTTGATTATCTAAAAACTGTGCTCAAAATGGCAGACTTTCTTCACTGTAGGCTATGGGCTCATTTGGATATACTCGTAATCACTCATAATCTTTTGTTTCAATAAAATTAATTTTGATAATGAACTATTTACTGTCTGAGTGTCCCTCATAAATTTATCTTAGATAAACTTAGGCAATAAGCTTATTTTTTTTAAAAAAAATGATTTTTATTTTAATCAAAATACTTGGTTGAAAATCGAACCTTAAATAACTAAAGAGGCTGAAAATCACCAAAAAAAAAAAAAAGTTAAATAATTAAACATTTAATGTAATGTAAGGTATATATCAAACACTAACAAAATAATATTATGGAAAATTACAAAAAAATATCACACTTTCTATGCAACTTATCCCTAACCAACCTTTTTCTCTCATTTTTTTCCCAAAAGCAAACTTTCTATGCAAATACCCCCAAGGGAAAAAGTTCATTTTTTTTTCAGACGCAAGCCCTTCTTGCATAAAAAAATCATTTTGCCAAGATTTGACATTAACCTTTGGATCCCAATAGCACATTACCTGAGTGCACTATCACATTGCTGGAGCGCACAAGTGTCAGAGCGCCCTTTACATAGTGTCGGAGCCCTGGAATCTAATAACATCTATTGCCGGACCGCCTTTTGCAACTACTGGACAACCCTTTTCAATTGCCGGATTGCACTTTACACAGTGCCGGAGCCCTACTGCCGAACCGCACGTTACACAGTGTCGAAGCCCTACTGTCTGACCGCACTTTATACAGTGTCGAAGCCCTACTGCCAAACCGCACTTTACACAGTGCCGAAGCCCTACGACCGGACTGTACTTTACACAGTGCCGGAGTGCTATTGCCGAACCACACTTACACAATACCGGAGCCCCTATTTTGGTGGGATAATTTATTTTTCATTTTGGTTGGGGGATATTTACATAAAAAGTGTATTTTCGGTAAAAAAAAGTGAGAAAATATTAGGTTAGGGTAAGTTGCATGCAGAGTTTAGTCTTGGATTTTTTTGTAATTTTCCCATAATAATATTATGGGGAGTATATTAAATTCCAATAAGATACCCCACCGGTAAGATTAACCATCATCTATACGAGCCTTACAACAATTTGCCTATGAAATTTAGAACAATTGCCAGTGTCATAAGGGTGTTTAGTAGTATTCTTATGAGGGTATTTGGTTGTAATTGGTGCAGTAAATTTATGAATCATAAACAGGATTTCCAATCATCACCCGTTCTTAATCAGTTAAATCTTCACCAATTTTCCCTTGAATTTTCCCCCGAATTTCACCCGGCATCTGTCATCGCCCCCTGGTTTACTATATGAATGATACGCCCCCAGCTTTAATATGAATAATAGAAATCTTGGAAGTTTATGTAAATGTAGTCTCAAGGCGGAGATGGATCTCGAGATCTTGGGGGCCCCTTGGAGATGGACCACTTAGCTGGTTTTGTAATACTGAAGCCTCCTCTTCTGCAGGAATACTAACTGTTGTTGTTTGTGTCTGCCTCCCTCTTAGTGACTCTTGTTGATGATTTAAATTTGCCGGAATACTAACTGTTGTTGTTTGTGTCCGTCTCTTTTAGAACCCCTCCTAAAATGATTTAAATTTGCCGGAATACTAACTGTTGTTGTTTGTGTCCGTCTCTTTTAGTACCCCTCTTCTGTAAAAGAAATGATTTAAATTTATGATCTGCACCTGAAATTGAGTATCAATCTGATTATCTAAACAGTCCATCAAGGTTATAATGAACCTTGTGAATTCAACACAATACAAATTTTCATTACATATAATGATCTAAAGTCTAAACAACAAGAAAAAGAGAGAGGAAACATACACAACTGGGGAAGCCTCTTTATGTACAAAATTGCAAATAGCCACTCCCTTTTCTTGTGATGTAGAAAAATGGCCTGTTCTAGGAGACCAAAATCCATTACCTTGAAGGATTGAAAACTTTCACTAACCTCTCAGAGAAAGCAACACCAAATTTAATGAATTCAATGAACTTACCTATCTGACATGAGAATCATCATCTTGAATAGTACACAAAAACAAAAGTCCCATCTCTCTCTCACTCATATCTCATTTGACATGGTCCTTCTGCAATGATTTCTGCATCACCACCATCTTCCTCCCCTCATCAGCTCCAACATCCACAAGTCTCTTACCACTAACCCTCCTTGTATAATCTCTCTTCTTCATAGAATCCCTTCTTTCTCCCTTCAAATTCTTCACAGAAGGCATCATATACCACCACATACAAGTACACAAAATGGCAAAAACCTTACCATAGAGAACTAAACAGAGCAAAATAAGAACAAGAGTAAAATGCTCATAACAAAGAGATCCACCCTTAAACCAAACTCCTGTCTTGTTCTTCGCACCCCCTTGAGAAAACCCAACCCCGGGATTTGTACCCGAAACCCGATTTTCTGTCTTTTTGGGTTTTTCTCTCTCTTCGGAGTTGGTAATTTGTTCAACTTCAGATGACTTAGGCTGCGGAATTTCCTGGTTTTTGGATTTGATTTTCGACAAATCCTTGTTGGGTTTTCTCTCATTGCTCTCTTTGACCTTCACAACAAGAGGAACCCAACGTTTGATCGGGTACGAGTACATGAATCGAACCATTGATGAGTCTTGTGGGCCAAGTTGAGCCAGGATTCTCTGTCTTTTGGCATTCAGATCCGCTGAAACCATGGCAAACTTGTCAAGGCCTATTGATGAGAATGGGTTCTTGTTGGCCTTGCTTTTCTTGCATCGAATTGCTTTTGTGGGGGTTGAACGAGGATGCCATGGATGATCACCTTCTTCCTCAACTGCAAACCTCCCACACAGAATCATTGGTGAATGACTTTGAAACTAACGTTTGCCGAAGTCTCTTGAAAAACTCGTATTTATAACGCAGACCACTCTCCCTTGTGTTTTTACTTAGTCAAAATATCATCTCCTCTCTATGCAGGTCAATTTAAATGTGATTGGGATGATCCATGGAAGCTTCGATGGTGTTAATGAGTGAGATGTTGACCATTTATGTCAAATATTTGAGCGCCATTATCTATTCTTCTGAGTCACTCTTACTTTTTTTTCTGTTTCTCATTTAATTCCATATGAGGACTTCTAGGTAAAAGACAAAAACTTCCTGCGTTTCTAAAATATCCAAATACCCCCAAGTTTCCATGCTTTAAAACGTTTAAAAAAATTGGATTTTATAGAACGAGACTATTTACCTTTTGCAAGATGGTCACAATTATTTATAACCATCCGATGTCAAGTTTGATAATTTGGATATGTCGCGAAGTTTGAGAAAATGCCTTTTGAAGTTTGAGATTAGTTAATAGAATAATTGCAATCACCTAATTTCACATCTAATGGTTAGGATTAATGTGACTACCTTATCCCAAAGGTACATGGTCTCATCGTATACTTTCCGTAAAAAAAAAAGAAGATTGGCGATCCGGATTATTTATCTAGAAAATTGGGTTGGATGGGAAAATTGGCCAGATCAGTTGGTTTTGGCTTACAAAAATTTCAAAAAATCTTTAAAATTTATTGGAAATCCAGTTTTTTAAGTTAACAATAAAATAAAGGATTGCATTATGGATTTTCATCATTTTACCAAAAATACATAACTTATGAGAATATGTTTCATGTCTAAGTGTTTGTTGATCATTACATTCATTTCATAGTTGAAATATAGTTTAAAATTCACTATAACCCGTGTTTTTTTTATTCTTGTGTTTTTACAATCTTCAACACCGCTGGTAAAGATAGGGGGTTTGCTTATCCATTTCTTACTTTTACCCTTTTCTTAAAAAATTGAGGTGAGGGATATTGGTCATTTAAAGGCAACTAAGAAAAAACAAAGTTCTTATTAAAGGTGAGAGATATTGGGTCATTTAAAGGTAATAAAACAAAACAAAGTTCTTATTAAACGTGAGAGATATTGAGCCATTTGAAGGTTAATAAGAAAAAACATACATTTTATTAAAGCTAAGAGATATTGGGTCATTTAAAGGGTTTTTGGCCTTTTAAAGTAAGAACTAGAAACCCAATATCTCTCACATTTAATAAGAAAAAAACAAAGTTTTTATTAAAGGTGGGAGAAGTTGGGTCATTTAATCCCATTGATATTTGTTGTATTGAAAAGTTTACCTCCAAAAAAAAAATGAAAAAAGAAAAAGGAAAAAATTAAAAAAAAAGAAAGAAATTTGCCCCACGGAAATGAATAAGCAAGAATGAAAGAGAAAGAGATGGAAAGGCTTTATCCCACTTCAGGGATATAGATAAGAAAGGGGACCCAAAATGCTATAAATAAGTCTCGTGTGTGTCTTATAGTGTGGATGAGCACAGGTATCCGGTGCACTGGCATGGTGGGGCCAAGTAAATGTAAATTTTAAAAATTCAAATTGTAAAATTAAAATAATAAGATATGGCTTGATTCTTTCGAATTGCCACGCAAGCTGTTGTTTTTTGCAAGAAAATGGATGCGCTAACGCTAGCGCTAGGCTAGCCCTGCATGGTTCACTTCAGACAAAACCGGCCGGTTATTTCATAGACAGGCGGATTTATCAATGAACTGATCAGTTCTTCACGGAAGCTAGTCAAGTCCCTATATATTGGGGGAATTAGATTAGCCCATTTGATTCTTGTTTTAAATTTGGGCTTTTCCAATTTGGATTACCGATTTTTTAAACCTTGCTTAAAACCTTACCCCGCTTCCTGTCTTTAAGCTCTAAGTTGGCCTTCACCATTTTTTCAACGGTGCGGTGTGCATTAAGGTGTTAAGCTTAGATATTGAAAGTGCAGTATGGCTCCAAATTTTGCTGAATTATGCAATTTTGGTGATGAAATTTTTTTGTGATCAAATGAAAATATTTTGTCATCCCTAATTATGAATTAAAGCTTAAAAAATGGTATGGTCAAAGCATATCAATAAATAACTCAAATCTTTGAAAATGGATAATCCAGATATCATGTTACAAGATGCGCCTTTTAAGCACTTGAAATCATTTTTTTATTCATAACCGTACATCTCGAAGTTAAAATAATCAATCATAGAGTTTTTTAGCATCAGAACAATCTTTTCTATGGGTTTTTGAGGTATTCCTTACTTCTATAGTATATGATCGATGCCGTATATAAACTTTTAATAAAAAATTATACAAGTTGTCAACCTTACACTTTAGAAGTAAGGCACACTTCAAAAACCCACTAAAATAGATATTTTTGACATTGCAAAACCTCAACTTGATCATTTTGATTCGGAGATGTATGGATATGAAACAAAAATTCATTTCAAGTTTTGAAAATAGTGTATCTTGTAGTGCATTATTTACATTGTCCATTATCAAGATTTTAAAGTGTTTATAAATCTACTTGATTTGCATTATTTTTAGAGGCTTAGAGTTTACAATTAGGGACGAAAATAGTTTTTAGGCCATCACAATGTTTTCTGGCACCTACATCTTCTGTATAGTTCAGAGGCGCGTCTTGGATTGTTGAAGGTTGACGCCTTATACAAAGCACACCCCAAACGTTCTCCTATTCTGAATGCCTGGCAGCAATAAAAAAGAAAAGGCAACTTAAATTGCTTATATTTACACAGCTTTTTTATTCGGAAAATTATAAAAAAACCCCAAAAGCACACTTGTTATGCAATTCTCCCTCAATGTAATAATTTCTTTCACTTTTTCTCACAAAACAAACTTTTTATGCAAATACGCCTTCCCCCAACGAAAAAAGTTCATTTTTTTACACAGAAATGACCTTCCCGTGCACCAAAATCATTTTGGCTACATTTGACCTTGACTTTTGGACTGCAGTAGCAAATTGCCATAGTGCACCATCACGTTGCCGGAACGCACAAGTGCCGGACCGCTCTAAGACAACTACTGGACCGAAACTGAGTACTGTCAGACTGCCTTTTACATACTGTCGGAACCCTGCAATCCAGTAACATCTAATGCCAAACCGCCCTTTTGCAACTGCCGTATCGTACGTTACATAATGCCAGAGCCCTACTATCCGAGCACAATTTACACAGTGCGGAGCCCTACTGCTGAACCGATACAGTGTATAGAAAGTACATTTTGGGGAAAAAAGTGAGAGAAAAAGTTAGTTTGGAGGTAAGCTGTACAGAAAATGTAGTCTTGAGGTTTTTTGTAATTTTCTTTTTTTACTTTATAGTTTCTTGGTACCCAAAATAAATAGACGTCTTTTTTATGAGTCCTAAGATTCATACTTAGATATGGGTCCCGTCTTCGTACTCCAATTTTTAGATGGATTTTAGACCTATTTTTTAGTATATATAATAGCTAGCATGAGAATATGAATGTGTTAAATTTTTCTTTTTTGAAAACTAAAAATGATAATTTTTGAAGGAAAATTCTAAACCATTTATTTGGCTTTGAAACTACAACACCACATCCATCTTTAAGATGGACAGAGGCTGCCTCCGGCGAGGCAAATATAGTATTGCACCCATAAACCACTTTAACAAGAGAAAGAATTGTTGGTATGATGGTCCATGAGTCATGTGACCACGCAACATATGGGGTCAAATGATCACCATCCAATACATGGGTTAGATGGTGATGAAGAGAGTGACATACAACGATTCAATGTCATGTTTAGTGGATTCCATCCTCTCTCCATCACCATTCAACCCATTATTATGGACGTTGATGACTAGTGTAACGCACATATTTGATGTCCACATATTTGATGTACTCATGGATATAATCCTATATTTCATGAAGTTTATTCCGTTTTAGATTCTGTTTTTGGTATAGTTTTTCACCTTAAGTTTCAATTGGGGAAGAATAGTATGGTCCCTAGTAAGTATATAGTCATAGGCCCATTCCATCCACCCTCCATTTAAAATGAACAATGGAGATTGGACCAAGAAGTGATCGAAAAGGCATATCAAAATGTACATGCAATATGTCTCTGTCCGGGGTCAATCTCTACCGTCCATTTGCAATGATATCTGGATGTGTGAGGAACATGCTCCCATATGTTCGTTACTGATGATTGAAAAGCCTTGATCCAAATTGAACGTTGTGGATCCAAATTGGAAAACAGCATAGATCGCCCAATTAGCTGTCAGATCTGGGAATCGGTTCAATTCTCATGGAAATGACAGGTTCCTACATTTATTTATTTTTATTTTTTTCTTGGACCAATTTTTACATTCAAGAATTAGCCCGGTTTGCCAATCAAGCTTTTAAAACAGTCCTCTTTACTATATTTTAACTTATACTTTATTCCATTTATTTTGAAATTTTTTATAACCGATCCAGGCAATTCGAGAATGATCAGTATCACCAATCCGGAGCTGGATCGGTGGTGAGCGATCCACCCCATCGTTCCGTCTTCTTAAACATTATTGAAAAAACAGTCTGATCCCCCCATAAATTCATTGATTCATGGACCAAGTTATCGTTGGATTAGATTTATGAGTTCAGTCACTTGGTTTGGTAATTAGGAAGCAAGGACTACATTATCATGACTTATCCGTCAAACAATAGACTATATTTTTTTTGGGATTGTATATTATAAGACCATTTATTTTTAATACAAGGAGGTCACAACCGCTTTTAGCCAATGGATGTGAAATCTAATAGATGAAAGTATGTCCCAATTTTTTAGAAATTATGATTTGGACTTTGTGCCTAAACAATAACACATCCTCAACTACTCAGATTTTAAATCTAATGGTCAAAGAAGACTTTGACTTCCTGTATAAAAAATAAAAGATCTCATCATATACATTTTCTTATTTTTTGGGTAATTAAAGAGAGTATAGTATTGCGGTCTTGGATTTGAATTCTATTCTAACCTCCCTGTGA